TATGATTATTAGGGTAACAGACTGTTGGCTGTACTCAAACCTTCCCTTGTTGACGTGGGTTCAAATGTCACCGAGGCCGCAATTCTTCACAGGTGGGTCAATAGACTTAACGATTATGCCCACTACCCTAACGAGCAAATTTAACTGAGAAATATGCATCAATTAATAAAGGTGAAACCCTTATGTTTGGGAGCTTAGTTCTCATACATCGATACGGCCAGCCACTAGATGGAAACGTACGATGCTTATTTTAGTAACTGGCCATGTTCAATTGTGATATGGATGTTCCGTTTCTGTTTTCTAGTGGCAGCCGATACGATTACTGTCGTACTACTCACTGCCCTGCGAGGCGAGATTCCCAAAATGTTCTCCAGTGATCCGTAAGTTAGCATGCACTTCATTAAATATATAGCCTATATCTCGATTATAGGATATAGATTCATTCTGACGTTCTCACCAGATGCTATTCCAATGTTAATTTTTTTGCTTTAGTGGAGTTATCGAAATGGCTAAGGATTATTTTCCGTCAATGATAACGTTCCAGTTCGTTGATGCCATTAACGTGAGTTGTAAAGATTAGACCGTTTGTGGCAGTTTTTTATACAGAACCTAAGCACGCATAATGCGCTTTGTAGGGCACGAGCTAAGCACCTGTCTTATTCCAGGCGGTCTTACCTAAAATTCTAAGTGGTAAATGTTTGAGTTATATCTAGGATGATGGATAAAGTATGGTTTACAATGTAGATCAGGGTTCGATTTAGAGTTGGAGTAAGGTTTGACTAAGTGTTCTGTTTTGATTTTCAGCGAGGAATAGTTAACTTTAGGGTTTGGATAAAAGATATAATTAGATATAGAGTAAGTGCAAGATTAAGAGTTATATTGAGATTTGGAATTCAGTTTGGAGTCTGGATACTGGAGTGCGTACCCCCCTAAGCAGGACCACCTGTTATACTACGGTTTAACCATTTCCGTTTCCAACCAATTATTGAAGTGCTATTGCGATACCTACTGATTAGAAGAAGAAGAAGAAGAAGAA